TGACGGGCCCCCACGGAAACATAGCTGTCACCCACATATGGGTGACGTGGCGATCAACGTGTTAATATATTGTCTTATTATTGTCTGATGAGTACGATTCGCCGCGATTTGTGAAGACCTGCGCGCGCGCACAAAATTGGCTCTTTTTAAAGCCAACATAATGTACAGATTGTATAAAAAGGTTGTGTAAAGACCACCACAGCGAGATTCTACACGTTTGGAATATTTCAAATATATTTCCATCCAATATAACCTTTACAGTATATTGCAATTATGAAGGGTGATTCAATAAGAGGTTTCATTTTGAATTTTACCGCATTTTCGCTGTATCAAACGTGCTGTATAGAACTCAGGAGTTTGCCAACGGGATGGCATAAGGGCGAGGTGGGTACTTCACTCGCACCGCCCGAATCTTCCGCCACACGGTGCTATGTGACCCGATTCGTCAATGTTATCGAGTTCGGCCAATAACAATAATACGTGTGTCCTATTTTTACGATGATGTTGGAGAAGGTGGCCTTATGAGGATACGACTCAATCAGACCCGCGTTCCTTCCAGGAGCAAATTCCTGAACTCTACACAGTACATCCCACATATTTGACAGCTGAACTCTAGACACGTGGCGATTTAGTCATGGAACGGTATTCGATCGAGCAACGCCTAGTTATAGTAAAAACCCATTACAAAAATGGAAAACATTTTGCAGAAACGTGTAGGAAAATTGGTACAGGTTTCGATAGAAATAATGCACCATCTCGTCTCGCTATCGTGAATTTAATCAACAAATTTGAAGAAACTGGTTCACTTGCGGATAAAAAAACATGTAGTCGTCGTACAGATCGTTCAAGTGAAAATATTGTTGCAGTGAGTGATAGTGTGAGAGGAGAGCCAAGCACCTCAATTCGACAACGTGCACAACAATAAAACATTCCATACAGCTCTGTGCAGCGAATTTTAACAAAGGATCTGCACCTACGCGCATACAAAGTTCAGTTAACACAAGAA